TGTGAACGAAGTATCGATACGGGTGTCAGTGTGCGAAAGCGTGTCGTGAAAATCTTTCGCGATGTTTGTTTGACTCAACCGAATTTCATTCGAATACCGGATATATGTTCGCGTTTGTTACGACGTATTCATGACGAAGAATCCATACGTAAATTGGTTCTTGAGACCTTTCAACAGTTATGGTTTTCTCCCACACGCACGCAACTGGATGTTAAACACCGTGTTCAAACGATCATTGATGTGCTAGTTGATGCACAGAAGCAGAATTATACTTGGTTGGAAAATTTAGTGAAAGAATTTCTTCAAACAAATGATAAACAATCCAGTGACGATAAGAAGAAAGTTCGTGAACAGCGCAAAGATGTCCTAAAAGCTATTCAAGATATTATCAATGAATTAGTTGAATCGATTCTGAAAGTCGAATCAGCCAATGATCAAGTTCGTGACTTTAATTTTCTATTGCATCGCAAATATTTTCTATTTCTCTAGAACTCATCGAATAAAATGGTTGCCATATTCATCGCTTTGTATGCCCTAGGCAAAGCTAAACCCGATCATGTTCTTCCACATGTTTCAACTATCGTTGAATATTTAAATATCAAATGTACATCATATAATGATAATATTATTGTACAATATGTTGCAAAAATTCTTGAATTTACCGTTCCGTTGATGAAATCGGCGTCATCAAGTATTATTTATTCGTTGGAAGGTAGTTTAACCAAACTCCTTCTAGTTAGTGGTCAATTAGTTATTCATTCAAGCATTGCTTGTCTCTCGGCGGTTATACGCTTGTCAAAAAATACTCAACTTGTCAGAGATGTTTTCGTTCGATATCATTGTAAGTTGCCATTCAGCAAATGTACAGAAATGAATTTTTGAATATCTTCGTTTAGCTATTGTTATTCAATGTCAGCAAAAGATCCTGGAAAAACCTGATGAAGAATTCAAGGGAAGTGCACAGCTGGCTCGATCAATTTACATCCTAGGTGTTCTATGTAAATATTTCGATGTAGAAAAAAGTGAATTTGATGATCTCGAGGTAATTCGAACACATCAATCAATCTTTTGTCACACTGATCCCTGTTTTCGTTTTAGTTTTCTGTCGACGATCTTTTTCAGTTATTTATATTTTTTATTCAACGACGTGAGTCCGTAGTCAAACTGAAATCTCTCGTCGGTCTTGGATTCTTTTTGCAACGTTATGGACAATACCTCGTGCGCGACACAGTTCGTCAACTATATCACAATTATCTGTTAGATCGTCGACCTACTGCTGCTCAGTTACGCTGTCAAGTGCTCATCAATCTCGAAGAATATTTCCGCGATTGTATACGTCGTATGGCTGAACAAGATATCGACTATCTCCATTTGACACAGACAGCAAATCCAACAACAAATGAAGATGAAAATAGCAATGATGGCACTGGTCCAACAGGTGTCAATCTCAAAGATACAACGGATGTTCATTCAGAGATGGCTAGTTCAATTGCTCAATGTTACTTACGCGTTGTGTTAGATACTTATTTAAGTGAAGATGAAACGATTCGTCAATGTGTTCGAAAGGTCGTGACGTGCATATTGGAACAAGGCCTCGTACATCCTGTTCAGTTTATTCCATATCTGATCGCCATGACCACGGACCGCGATATAAACATTCAACAGAGCGCCGAACAAAATCTACAAGATTTGGATAAGACAAATCCAGGCATCATCCAAACAAAAGTCATGCATGGATTGAAAATGAGTTACCAGTTACAAAAATTACTGGCTGTGACTAGTCAAAACAAGACCAATACTCAACAAACTCATGTGCCAAATGAAATTATTAGAGGTAGGAAGAGGAAAATCTCTACAATTGATACTCATTAGCTGTTTTTAGGCATGACCAAAGTAGCAGTAACCCCAACGAATAGTCAACAATCACCTTATTGTTCAGTCAATCATTTTCTTTATTCGCTTATTCGCTCTTCGCGTGTTTATCGTCGCGCTTTGATATCTCAATTGCTGAAAATGTTCGATAACGATACAACGACGACGACATCGACGACGCTTGGAGAACAACTATTTGTTGCTGATAACCTAGCTTACTTTCCCTATCAAGTTCAAGATGAACCATTGTATCTGATCGAACAGATTGATCTTACCGTCAGCGTTAGTGGCTCGACACAATTACAACAATTTCGTGATTTACTGAAACAATATTTAGATTACACGGATGACGATGAAGGCATTGATCTGAGTCGATTAGAAGAAAAATTTCTTCAGTTATCCGATGCCGTCGTCGACGAGCTAAATCAATGTTTACGTACATCAAAATCAACAATGTTACTATTGATATTAAAATCTTACCTCAAAGATGTTTATGGTTTGAATGACACAAAAATCACTGAGTATGATCACACCGAATCGAGTAAAATAACCGATCGGCCAATAATGTCGAGAAAGATGAATGTTAAATTCGAACCGAAGCTCATACTTGATACAATAAAACCGTCAGCACACATGGATGGTCATCAAAGACGAAAACAAATTCTAAGAGATTTTCAAGATTTTAAACGTTATCTTCTTGCATTTGACAACGATGCCGAGGAGAATGTTAAATCTATATCCGAGTTGTTACCTTCTGCAAGCATGTCAACAACAGGAGGAACACCAAGTTTAACTGGAAAAAGCAAGAAAAAATCAGGAGGAACAACAAAACGACGGAAAGTTCTGATCGAATCAGACGATGACAGTGCCGATGGCGATTTTCAGCCATAAATCTCTCTTTTCTCTTTTGTTTTATATAATATATATTATGTATGTTTTTTTATATGAGGACCTTTCTCTCGTGTTCATGTCTACTACAATGTACAAAATAACCTGTGTGTGTTCTTGAAAAATTTTCTTTCTTGTTTTCATTTCCTATCTAACTAATTCTGTACAGCGAAGCAGAACAACATTTTTTTAAAAACTTCAATGTATAACGTTGTTATTCTAAGAATAGTGATGTTCATACAGATTTTTTTCACTAGTACGATCTCAGTTGGTTTTGCTATAAAAAAAAGGTAAATAAAATAAAAGTCAAGTGTTGTCTTAGGAAAAATAAATCATTCATTATCTATCGAAGAGTTCAGCTGATCGTCTGTCGAATCGATGATGTCCATGAGATCGATGAATGCGGATGGCGTATCACCACTTCCGTTATTTATGTTTACATAGTGTTCGACAATATTTAGCGTTGTTTGAGTGATCTGATCCGTACTAGTTTGTTGAACTGATTGATCGAGAATGTTTACATCTTGGTCAGATGAATTTGATGAGAAGATCATTGAATAATTTTCATTGTACGTCGATCTTTGGGATAAGGAATTCGTTTGTACTTCGATTTTGTCGAGAACTGAATCGATATTATCGAGAATCGAATGAATTTGCGTCACCATCATGGATTGAATCGGCAATGACGATTCATCGATACGAAATGTCATAGACGATTGACGAGTAATTGGCTGGTCAATTGGTGAAGGTGGCGGGGACTTGATTTGAAGTGACGTATAGCTTTGTGAAGTGAACGCTGATATTCTTGTCGGATGAAAATGTAAATTGGTACTGATAGAATGAAATTTCTTCCGTTCGTTCATATCTTCATCAATCAGCCGTTTGTTTGATTGATGTTCATTCAAAGATGGCGATGAATTACCACTACCGAAGACACGATAGACGAATTTTTTGGCTTTTTCAAAGACACCCGAAGTACTTGATTCAGCCTTATTTGACATCGGTAGAGAGTTTGAAGGATAGTAATGGAGAAAGCAAACTTTTGATATAGTTGCGCAAGAGGTTATGTCAATATGATCAACCAGTGGAGTGGATTTCTTTCCATGAAAATGTTCTCGAAATTTATTATCCAAGATATTGAGCAGATCTTTGTTTGTTTTCAATGAACTACATGGACAAATATGAGTTTCGATAATCAGAAGGTGATTTACTCATGAGTTATCAATGTTTCAATCAAATGTAAGCGATATTGATCGGTAGGAAATAGTTCAAGAAGTATTGGAAAACTTTCCGTAGTAATGAATGGGTGAATCTAATAGAAAAATCAGTTGCAATTTTTCGGATAGAACGCAAAACTCTTATACGAATGGAATCAATTGATATAATGCTTGTAGACGATAATTTTCGCTATTAAAAATCGAAAAAAAGAATTGTAAAGTGTATGGTGTTAACTGCAAGAGATGAAGATGTGATTTTAAGGTATTCAGCATTTGTAATCGATCGATGTCGTTATCGAGTCGATGCAGTTCTCGACATAGAATATCAATTGGTGAATGAATCTTGTTTGACATTTTGGAAATTCTTAAGTCAAATAAAAAGAAACATGAAAAACTGACTTTGATAAACGTTTTAACAACGAATTGAGTACAAAAAATGCGCGTGAAAGAAAACTAGTTCGTGATCTTGCTAGAAGGCAGATTGTTAAACGACGGAAAAAATTCTTTTTTTCTCAGAGATTACATCACTGAATATTTCTTTATTAAGGAAAATATTCATGTTGGGAATTGTCGCTTCATTATCAACAAACATGTTCAGCATCAATTCGTATAAAAACACGCAATAAACAACTTGTATGTGCTTAAGATGGTTCTTCGTATGTATGATAACTAATGGTTGAAACTGAGGCCCGCCTAGATAGCGCAATATCATACAGAGGAGATACAATGATGGGAGAAGGTACTTGAGATAAAGGCGGTAACCGAGACGGCAACGGAGGTGGTGGCACTGTTACTGTTGAAGTGGCGGATGAGAGTGATGCTGAATAGGCTAATAGTTTCTTTTTCACACGCTTTTTCCAAATAAAGAATATGACCAAGCCAACAACTAGAGTTAATAGAGCTCCACCAAGTCCACTAGCAACCACAATACCAATGTTGATTTGACTCGACGACGTTGTATCCGTGATTGATGTGGCTATCAAATGCAAGGCAGAAGAAAGAACTATTTCCTACTTGAATATCCTTTACATACTAGAACAGGTTGGTCCACTATAACCAGAAAAACACGCACAGGTCTGATTAACTGTACATGTGCCTGTGTGCTTTGCTACGCAGACGTCACATGCAAGTTGATCTACATCGAAAGATAAACATAACACTTAAAATCTAAACGAATCGTTAAAAAAATCCGGCGCAAAGCATGTTTATCTCGATACACACTCGTCACTGGTGAACTTTAGTGAGACTAGTTGCGTGGAAATCGTTGCCTATCAGATGATAAAAACTTCGATGTTCTTAGATTTTTTACATACCTGTCATGTGAAGTTCGTCGATGTTAATCGAAAAATAAGATCCTTTTTCTTTTACAAAAATCAATACGCTCTTCGCTTCGCGACAAGAATTCTTTTTGAAATGTTTTTAATAAGCAAAGTGCAACAAAAGCATTTAAGATTTCAGAACGAACACAGAATAACATTACGATCTGCACAAAAACAATTGACGAGAGAGAGAGAGAGTCAGAAGAAGAAAGAGAAAGAAATCACTGGATAATCGCGATGCTCACGTAAATCAATCTCGCCATTCAAATGATGTATAGAAATTTTCTTTTTTTTCTTTGTTACAAAAGCTTCACCTCAGTCATCGAATGATTGAATGTTAGAAATATTTGTTTACATTTAATAGATTCATTCCCACTCTGTCTTGGCGGCAACATGAGTTATGATTTTTCGGTTAGGCAAATAGGCGTTACATTTTCCACTGGAATATCTATTTATTTTGCTATTAAACAATCGAATATAAGTACCTCAACGTCAAAAATTCATTTCAAGTTTGTTCCTTTGTGAACAATGTCACGAGAAGAAAGCACCATGGCCTTGTTTTTGCCTGTCGAAAGTAGAATTCTAGATATACATGGATTTCGTTGTGTCGACATGGACAGGAGAGAACAAAATATGTACGATAAATTCTAACGAGATATAAATTTAAAAAAGAATGGTGCCGTGACCCGGGATCGAACCAGGGACCTTCAGATCTTCAGTCTGACGCTCTCCCAACTGAGCTATCCCGGCGATATACAGGTGAGCTTTAACAGGATTTTATATTTTATTTCTTTTTTACAAATACAAATTTAAACCATTTATGCTTCTGCTCTTTCGATATAGTCCTTATATAGATCACGTTTTTGTTGTCGTTCGTAGTAGGCTTGCTTCGCCTTTTCCAACACGTCATCCACCGTTCGTTTTTCGCACAACCGCCGTATTCTTTCAATTCTTGTTTCTTGCGCCAGTCGCTTCTTTTCAGTTGCGATTGGCATACTGACCATTGCTTCGTCGTCATCTTTGGTATTAACTTTTACCTCCTTGGCCTTTTCCGGTTTCTTCTCCTTCGTTGTCGTACTAACATCCATCTCGAATTCTTCATCGTCGTATACCTGAGTGCTTGGGTCATTGATTCGTCGGACTTTAACTGGTTGTTTGACTGACTTTTCGACAACAACTGGTGCTTCATCGTCATCTTGCCGCTGTTCCTGTTTCACTTCTCGAGCATGTTTTTCACGAGCGCGTGTGTACATATTATCATTTTCGCTGTCAACAGGACCACCGTCCATGGCTTCATCGTCATCTTCATCAGCTGTGCGAGTTCGTAGTTGTCGAGCACTTCGAGATGTAGCAGAAGGTTCTAAACAAAGAAGAGTTGTCGTTCACTCTGATTCACTTGTGATCTTTTACTTTCGAATTTTGGTTCAGTTTTAGTCTTTTCACTCTCTTCAAGAATGGTTTCCTCGCCTAAAATCAATGAACTATGAAATGGGGTATTAAATTAGAAAAAGATAAACCTGTTCGAAGCTTGAATTGAAATCGATAGAACGCATCCATATTATCTTGTTGAAAAGAATTCAATAGAGCTTCTCGTTTTTCTTCCAGTTTTTCACGTTCTATATCAGCTTGTCTTTCTGCCAATTTAGCTTTGTACGCTGAGGTCACAAAGACTTCCTTATCCTTATAAAGATCACCTTCTGCTTCACGTTCAAGCTGAATACGACGTTCTTCTCTTCGTTCGTGTTCTTTTTCACGCAGTACCTTCTTTTCTAAAAGACCGGCGATATATTTCGGTGCTCGAACTGTATTTGATTCCCGTTCTAGACGTTTCTTTTCTTCGCGTCGTTGCTCTTGCTGCACAGTAGAGCTGACTTGTTCATAAACTTCATCGTATTCGTAAATATTTGGATCTTGTTCAAGAGCTTGTTCGATATCACGTTGAGCTTTAGGATTCAGTGCAAGACGAGATGACGTTGGAGGTTTTGACATTGTCTTCTTTGTGTCTGCATCATCGTCGTCATCGAGTGAGAAAGCTGAGGCTGCGAAACAATTTTTGTTGATTGGAGCTATCGTAGTTGATTTCGTTTTTGGTTTGCTGGGAAAAGATAAACCAAATGGTCGTTTGGAAGTCGAAGAATTATCTTCAGTAGCCATAATCTAAAAAGAAGATTTTCTTATGATTCTTAGTCCTATGAAGCTAAATCAACAAAGAAACAAGGAAGTTTAGTCTCAATTACGAAATACCATCAGTTTGACATATTCCCTTTCTTCTTTCTATGTGTTATTTAAAAAGCTTTACATTTGTCACTCGACCGGTCCAATTAAAAATAATTTCACTGGCGCCATCTTGTTCAACGTTACGTCTTTTATCTCAAATCTGGAAATACTATCTTTGAACATTGGTTAGTACAACTATTTGATCAGACGGAACATAGCCTAGCTGAATACGAATACTCAAATGAGCGGAGTTTATCGCTTAGTGTCTACATGAATGATGGCAGCCATTTGGCGAATCATAAGATTTTTTTTACAGAACAAAGAATGTCTGTTGGACAAAGAAATTTTGCTTGTTTTTTACCATATTATCAATAAATCGATTTGACTTTACATGTCTCATCTGGAATCGAGCTGGCGAACCTCGTATGATCCGGAGAAGAACAGGCTCTACCATTCTGACATGCATCTGAGTGCATCAAATTCATCATCTATCTACACAAGCCATCACAGTGCGTTCGATGATGATCAATCAATCAATCGAAAACGTCCTTTATTGGATCTTCAAGCACGAGAAAATATTCAGAGGAAAATTAGTAGACAAAAACTTGATGCAGGTATGAACGATATTTCATTAGATAATATTCTGAGTAAACCACTAAGGCGAGCCTGTCTAGAGAGAAGTTGATCAGTTTGACATTGGATTTTGTAAGAATTACTACGTATGAATAAATCTGCAGTTATGATATGTTGATAGAAAATCGATTTGTACATTTGAAGTGTTTAATTTTCTCTACCGAAGTCCTTTTGTAAATACATCAGATTGTTCTTGATTTCACTATGTTCTACATGCATTGCATTACAGAGCAACGTAATGAACATTCCAACAGTAACCATACTTTTGAATCTGTTCATCCTCACACGACGAATTCAATCTCATCAAGTCTACAGAATCTTCATCATCGACAACATTCACCACTTGCATTTCGATCGTTATCGTCAGAATTTGATACTGCTCTTCGACATCCAAGCGGTTCACGTTTATTACACGGTGCTAATGACGTCATTTTTGCTGATGATCTCAACTATCAACCATTTAATCAGCCACAAACGCGAAAAATTACGAAAATTACTCCTAGTATGTTTATTCTTAAATAAACTTTCTTTGTTCAATCGTTTTCTCATTTAAAATAGAAGAAAACCTTCCTCTGTCATATACTCGTCCGTCTCAACCGCGCGCCACAAGTGCGATCAACACACTAGCAAAAAAGCCTGAGCCAAAGGATCGACTCCCATCACGTGACGATGCAAAACGATTGAAAAGTGTTCGTCGACTCGAACCTGCGCATGTTTCATCAGGCCCCGGTTCCAAAACCAGTAATACTACAACTAACATACATTTCTTTTTAGTTTTCATCAATTCTATTAGGTTTAATCAATACCAACTCATGGAAAACTGATCCTAGCAACATAAAAAAACCGTCGACGGTGAAAAAACCAAAGACAGAAATCACTACAAAAGCAGAGGATAATGTTCCACCAACGGATGAACAGTTTACAAATGAAATCAAACAGGAAATAAAGAAACTTAAAAAGCCAAAACGTGATAAAAGTTTGTTTTGCAAAGAATGTCAATCAAGAGACTATTCAATTATAATTTGGTTTTAGGTGCAACGAAAACAATGACTGAGCGACCACTGGCAAAACCTCATCCGCCACCTAAGCGTACGTTTAGTTTAGAACAACACAAGGCCTTGATTGTAATTTAAATTATCTGTTTCAGCGGAGAAGACAAAAGAAGAGAAGAAGAAGGAAAGTGAAAAAATACAAAAATATATCAAAGAAAAACAGCAAGAACACGAAAAGAAGATTTTAAACGACAAAGAGCTGAAAAATGCACAAGAAAAAGAACGAAAAGAGCGATTGATAAAATTGAATGAACAGATCAAGAAAGTCGCTCAACAACCCTTGCCAGCTTCTCTAACTAAAAAGTCATCCACATCTAACGCAGTTTGTTTTCACTTTGATACTCTTCGTATCTCTACGAAAACTATTGTTTTCTATGTATAGTCGCAATCAAAAGATCCAACGGAGCTAACACGCGAACGACTTCTCCATCTACTAGGTCCGAAACCTGTCATTGAACTTCCAGTGGAATCTCGTCAGAATGCACCTTCTCAGGAAACGGCCATTCGTGAACGTTCGACGTCAGCAAGTTCATCATCATCAAAATCATCAAGTACTGACTCAGTTGTCGAAATCCAACCGCCAAAAACGTATGATTACTATGAAAGATAGAATTCTCTCGACACGGTCTTGATTATCATTGTAGAAATGATCAAACAGTATTACGTGCACATTCAGAACCACCAATTCAAGATGGTAATGTGGCAAAAACTTGCTTTCGTTTGAACTATCTTTGATATACAGGTAATAGTGATGGTATTTCACATCGAAATCAAAATCTCTTGCGATGGGCTTACAATTTGACGCGTGATTGTAACGATATTGAAACTAAATTTAAATTTTTTCGACCTGGTAAACCTTCTTTTGATAACAACTGCTTGAAATATGCTGTTAACTATGCTTTCTAGATGGCACACAACCATTTGATATTATTCCTCCTTCTCGAGAACAGCTACAACATGATACCGGCAATCTACGTATTCAACCACCTATCATCATAAAAAAGAGAGAAGACGAAGACGAAGAAAAACATGAACCAACAATCTCAGCGAAACTCTTGCGTCCATCGGGACGTTTAAGTCATTTAAATCAAAATAATATCAACGAATATGGAAATCAGCGTCTGCCAGGTGTCGGCGATCTGCGTGATCCAATACTGGAGCAACGTGTCAAACGTGATTATGCTGCTACTAAAATCCAATCAACGTATCGTGGCTATCAAGTGAGAAAAGCATTGCAATGGTCAAATCAAAAACAACAACGGCTCAATAGCGAATTCAACCGACGAGTGCGTTCTTAAATTGTTCACTAAATAAAACTCCCTTTTATAACTTAATAGCCGAGTCGTAAACCAACGAAAGTGTCTTCCTATCGATCAGATATCTTTGATTCACCAGGTACAAATTTTGATCTTCGATTTTCCGATGATAAGTTTACAATCGGTTCCACAATATTACGTAAACTACAACAAAATGGAACGAATATTCAACCTGCAAAAAGTATTTATCGATCATATTCAGTATCGAATCACAAAGTCTCACCTTCGCTGCTTTTTAGATAAATTAATATCAGAAAGATATCAACGACGACAGCCATTGTCCACTCACTCATCACCACCTCCACCATCATCATCAACGTCACAAAAAATACAAAGACCAACCGTTTTACAAACATATTCAGACGATTATGAAAATTATTCAACCACAACTACATCCACTCCTGCGAGTCCAAGACCAGCACCGGAAAAACCACGAGTTACGCAACAGCCAATGCCCGGTAAGTACACTGGAGAAGTCGAAGCAATCTGTTGCATAACCTTAGGGACAGTTAGAATGACATAACATCCTATTGAAGTTAAAGACTCATATGATCGTTAGATAGTAATACTTCCTATTGAGCATATTGAAATTTTAGACACTATTTCTAATACGCAGAAAAATATGTTGATGTTTCACACATTGAAGAACAGTATGTAGTCAATTTTCCAGCATCTGAATTTACTTCTATTTCAGCGAGAGAAAGCTTCACTTCTCCGTCTCCATCTTCATCAACACCGTCATCATCTTCATTTACTCCTACACATACACCGGAACCTCCTGTAGCTTCGACTAATATACACCGCCGTTCAATTTCTCCGCCGTTACCACTCCCCATGTCTCCTGACAGCGGCCGCGCTGTACATCAGCGTGACTATCCTAGTCACGTGCTAACACATGCTCCATCGTCGACAACCCATCGAATTTCGGACGAACGTCGTTATTCTCCGGACGCACTCGAAAGACAATTAAATGCTGAATTACACTTACTTGATGGTGTTGAAGCTTCAATGAAGCAAGTAGAAAACATGGAACGCCTGAGATCCGTTGCACTTGCCCAACAAGAAGTTGTCTCACTTGCACAAGTGCTAAGAAACGTACAATTATTCTGCTACTTCCGTTTTAATTTAATTGCGTTTTTCTGTTGTTATTTTAATTCTAGAAACCAATACCTGAATCGACTACCCCTTCACAACCATTACGAAAGTAAATTCGTTTCGTCGCACTGTTCTCTACTTTTCAATTACAACGTTTTCTTTCCAGATCACCAGCGCAGCGAAGTGTATCGTCATCATCCTCTTCTTCTTCTTCTTCAACGATATCCAATCGCAAACATCGGCCATCATCACCTCAACCGAAAACTTCTACTAGTAATCCATCCCGCCAACGACGTGCTCAGTCGTCCACTTCACCAACATCATCATCATCGGAATCGTAAGCAGCTGGAATAATCTTCGTGTTTTATTTTCTTGTAATCAGTAAAAAAACAGTGCCTTTTATTGATGTTTATTTTTCGATAAGACCAATTGAATATTTCAGACATAATATTACAAATAGGTTTTCAAACATAATTCATTTTCAGTTCGTTGCGTAGTTGGCTTTAACTGCGATATACTAACTAATTTAAACGGATGCTTCTTTTTTCGTTTTACTTCTTTCAATTGGTCGTGTTATTGTGTTTGTTAATATAACGTAAATACCGTGGCAAATGAGTATTGACACGAATGTTTACTTTTGATGCCATCTTGCTTGGATTATTATTTGATATATGTTGAACGTTCTTGATCTGATTTTTATTGTCATTTGAAGATGGGAATAACTTTCTTGGACGATGAAAATCATATCGACGACTGTGCGCATTAGCGCTGGCTTCGAGCAGAGCTACGAAATCAGCATCTATCAACATAGGGCCATGGAAAAATTGAGATTGAACTAATACGCACGAGATTAAGACGATTAAATAACAACGATAGATGACCTGCATCAGTTAAAGATCTTTTTCTCATACGTTGTCAAATGAGTTCTACTTAGCATATTTCCTTCATTATATAGAAAGCAGAAATAGTGGGCGATATCATTGTCTTTTTCTTCTGTCGGAAACGAGAGAAAACTGCTGCTCGATTAATAACCTATACACATATGATTTTTTTTCTCATTTAGAATCTTGCCTACTCGAGAAAAACGTGTACGCCAAAAATATCATAACGAAGCTGAACTACAAGCTTATGAAGCACGCCTAAAAGATATCGAAAAGAAAGTTCGTCAACTCACTAAACGCGGTATGTATATTATCACTAACTCACTCTTTATTATGTTATTGTAAAGAGACTAGGATATCGATTAAATGTTTCGTCTCTCTCTCTATTCTCATATAAACGAACCTTTTAGATGATAAAGAAGACGAAGACATTGATTACAGACGATTGGAATCCGCATTAAATGGTAAATTAGAATAAATTTAGCAACTAACCTAGTTCGCTTCTATAATATCTGATAAAAGAGAGAAGAAAATTTGTAAATAAATTTCAATTTTATCTTTATTTCCTTCTAGCTTTTGAGAGTCTCAATGCAAAACGTACCCCGACAACAACGACCAGCTCGCAGTCGAAGCCAAAATCGAGTAATGATTCAAGTATTAGCGAAGATATACCTGATTCACAAAAATCTACAAGGTAATTCTCAATTTTATTCTCGTTGATTTAAAATTTGAAGTAAATATCTACTTATGGCTCCACCAGTAGTGTGGTTCAGAAGAAAACCAATAATGATACGAGTGAAATTCGAACAGAAACGTATGTTATGATCGATCACTTGTTTCTATCTTTTAAATTCCATACTATTTGTAGAAATGTAAAAGATAGTATTTCGTCATCAATATCGTTTCAACAAGAACAATCGGGTAAGCCGGAAAGTGTACTGTATACCGAAACGTATTCTATGGATTTGCCGATAGACACAGTGACAACGGATGTTAGTGATCTCGAGCGCCGCGTGCGTAACTATCGTGATCAATTAAAAGCAAAACGAACTGAACTCGATAAATTGAAACAAAAGAAGACCAAAGAAGAACTCAGAGAACAAGAAGATGAACTAAAAAAGCAACTTCAAGTATGAAAACCATCGACAGTCAGTATTGTAGAACCAGAATGTACCTTGATCGTTTAGACATTTAATCATGAAATTGAAGTTTTACGCCATGAACCGCCACGTACTACCAAGGCGTTACAGGAACAGAAGCAGTCCGTTTCTGTACGTAAAGTACCCGTTAAAAGTTCTAGTAGCGTCGATAGCAGCAGCAGCAGTAGTAGTGCAAGTACTGCTTCCACAGCAACAAAACCACAGGAATCGAGTATTGCGGAGGATTTACCTGTCACAACAACAGCATCACAATCAAAAACGGATCTCGTGGTACGTTTTTTCAACGTTGATCTATTGTTGAAATATCATATTGTTTTCAAGGAAAAGCGTATTGAACCGAATCGTTCAGTTCCGAAGAAGGAACGCGATTTCTTTGATGATGATGATGATGATGACGAAGAAAAACAAGAAGAAGCAGCAGCAGTGAAACCTATGGAAACACCTCGTGAAGAACGAGACACTCAACATGATGCTCAATCAATCTCGATTGCTACTGATTTAGCTGCACTATCCCAAAGTGAAGATGATGATAGTCACAAACTAAGCACAGACAATGAAAAGTAAGTACACAATATCCGTTCTCTTGTCAATAGAAATCATCGAGAGTAATTTGTTCTCAATACGGAAATGACGTTCTTTGAAGGTTTCGTATACCTGATGATCTACTATTTTTCATAGACCGATATTGAATTTAAATAAAAATCCAGCTCCACTGACAAAAACTCGTCAACCTTCAGAATCCTCTTCGTCAACAACAACCACCACTTCGGAAACTACTACATCAAGCAAAAGATCATCGAAAAATCAAGCACAATCGCAAACATCCGAACGGAAAGCATCTTCGACACATAATGATTACGACGAAGATTTTTCTGATGTTAGCCATTCACCTACAACACCAACCAAAGAACCATTGGCAGAAAACAAAGTGATTGATCTTGACTGTGAATCGATTCACGAAGATTTCGAAGAAAAACAATCGACTCATGACATCAATCGAAGTTTATCCTCGAAATCCAGTGGCGATGAACAATCGGAAATTCTTGTTCTCGTGAAAAAATCTGCTAGTACGACACCACGCAAACAAGAAGACAAAACGCTCGAAGAAGAACTTCCGCCACCTCTTCCCATTCCTGCGTCTGTGCCTGCTCCTATATCAGTCGCACCTGAACCAAAACTTGAGCCCACCAATAATGACGATACAGCACATGATATTAGTGATGATGATGATGATGATGAAGATATCAAGGAGCAAGAAAATCGAGTAGACCATCTAACGGATCAGTTCATTCGTGCATTCATCGACGAAGCTATTGACCAAGGAAGAGAAATTAAGCGTTTAAAGAAAGAAATCAATAAAAACAAGGATGTGTCTCCAGTTGAACCGTTCGCGGCACCGGATACACAAGAATGGCTTATAGAGAATGATGCAAACGAAGATAATAATCAAGATAGCGTCGAAATAGTAATTCGTTTTTATCTGACACCTAATTTTAAGTATCTATTATTCTTTTCTAGAATGAATTTACACTTGACTTCAGCCAGCTGGATGAGAAAAATCGTGAGTTACCATGACCTTTTTATGTAGTAACAGAAAAATCACTGCTTATACCTTTGGTTCTTCCATTTTCCTATGGCAAATAGAAAACAGAAGGATAAATAGCTTTCATAACGCATTGATGGAGTCATAGAAGTAGTTGTTACTGAAAAACCAATCTGAGCTCAGTAATTAATTCTTGTTTACAGATTAATGGATCTAAATGGAATTATGACTTTAAGTACAGAAAACGACAAATCATACCTCGCATGATAACTTAACAGTGAAAATCATTTCATTCTAGCTAATGAACCGCGTATCGAAAGTCCACGAAAAATCGTTGTCGAAGAACCCGTTCAAATCTATGTGCCACATACACGAGAACAAGTGATCGATCTATGTCATAAAGCAATGGAAATTCTATATGATCAGAATACAGATTTTTCTGACCGAGAGGCTATTCAATGCTATATACCTGTCGAATATCTTACAAGTGGTCAGCAAGGTATGTTGGTTTCAGCGATGACATAGTGTAAAACGGTGATTTCTGTGATATAGATTCAGATAACGAACACGTTCGACTCAATCGTCGCGCTTATTGTCGAATGGTATTTGATTTGTGCACGGAATTGTTGCATGAAATGGACACACCGAATGTTATCCCAGCTAAATATTCCGATTGGCAGCATAGCAAACTTGTTTCCAAGCGCTTCTTTCGAGGAAGAAAACCAGCAAGTCGTCACGAAGTCGAACAATTCATCCAAACGAAAGTTTTAGAGGTCTTAGGTTTGACTCCTCGTCAAATAACCTACTCGAAATGGCGTGTGCCAAATGATCAACATCACAGTAGTGAGAAATTCGAGACAGTACTCGATCAAGAGATACGTCGTGGCGAATCTCAATGGATAGCTTATGACGATGATTGTATCAAAATGAAATTTGAAATAGCTGATTTAATCCTTGATCAATTAGTTCAAGAATCGATTAGTGAATGCCTTTCTGTTACAGAAAAGCGTCTATTTCCGAGCAGTAATAGTACACGTCTTTAAAACACAAGAAATTCTTAACTTATTCTAAATAAACACGAAAAGTTTCTTGTAAATGCTTTTCTTTTTTGTTATGTGTTAGTAACATAGAACAATTTCTATTGATGCTTTTTTTCATGTGTGCTATTCATATTTGTGCGTGTATGAGTGCTCAACAATAAAAAAAACCATAGTTTTGTTTGGTAAATTCAATTCTACATATAATGAGCAGAACAATTTTCGAGATGCGATATGTCCCGCGTCGTAAAATCAACTATCATAGTAGTCTTAATCATACGCTTACGTTCAAGACTTATAAGGCATCTGTTCGTATTCAAACTAGTTATTCTCATGGAGAGTACATATCACTTTACAAGGATCACTTTCTTTGTGTGAACAGCTAAGTATCAATTTACAAAATCTATATGCATGCCACTGAAACGAAAGAAACTGTAAGTATTCACATAAAATACTGAACAGAACGTTTTAGGCATGCAAGGGAAGGTTAATTCTCATTCGCCCGTATACTTTTAAGCGCACAACAATTGAGTGTACCAAAAGCAAGCGTTCTCATGTCGTGTCTATTTGTTTTACATTTTTTTCGTGAAAATATAGCGCATGCAGAAGTGTTTTTCTTTTCTATAATCAATTGCGTATAAATAATCGTGTGTCAATTTCTCCAACAAAAGAAAAGGTATTAATGGTTCAGTCACGAGCAGTCAGAGAAAAACATTTTCATATTTAATCATTATATACTCTCTGAAGAACAAGTAGAAATTTGAGTTTTTCTTTTCAATCAACTCGTTGATTTTAGCTTATTACCATTTTATTATCAATAGAATTGATAAAACAGCTTTGATGACAGATATACGACATGACTTCAATAAAAACTAAAGCGACGTTTTCAATGTGGAACACGGAGCAACACAAAAGAAATCACTTCAACGATATTTCGTTTTTTTTCGCTCTATTTACTTAACCGTCGCCGCCGCGATTTTCATCGACGTCATGCCAGTATAACAAATGTATAAAGAACAAAAAAGGTCGCGATGTTGAAAGCAATAACGACAGTAACAATTTTAACCATCATTTTAGTTTATTTTATACTTCTATCTCTTACTTATCCGTCCGTTTGCTGGTTCAAACACCGACCAACTGAGGAAAATGATCACCCTCAACCTCCTAGCGTTACATTTATTTCTAAGCGCTCCACGAAATCTTGCTTAAAACACTATACATTTCATCTCATGCCTATGCCTTTGAAAATCATCATGTCTAACCAAGCAAAAATCGTTCGTATACCTTCGACTATTCGTATCGAAACAAAACAATCTCTACCATTTCCAACACTGAACTCATCCGAGGATGCTCCTTTTACTCTGTCTATTACTGGTGCATTTGATCTGATAAATCAGGCCGTTTATCCATACTTAGGCATCGATGAATCATATCAATTGAATATAACTTCAGATAATCGTGCCCTCTTAGTTGCAAAAACGTACGTTGGCGTTATTCGTGGTCTGTCAACTTTTCAACAGTTACAAGCTCAAGAGTTGATACCTATTCCACTTACAATTGTTGATCAACCACGATTTATTTGGCGTGGTCTAATGCTCGATGTTGCACGTCATTTTATTCCTATTTCAATCATTCAGCAAACCATTGATTTCATGAAACTTGTCAAAATGAATGTTTTACATCTACATTTGACCGATGATCAAGGTTTTCGTATGGAATCAAAACAATTTCCACGACTACACGACTCGTCCCAATTTTATTCTCAATCCGATATTCGCGATCTAATTGAATATGCTCGATTACGAGCTATTCGTATTGTACCTGAATTTGACATGCCGGCACATACAGCATCATGGTTTGTTGGTTATCCACATTTATCGAGCGGTCAAAAAACTTCGTATCAATTGGAGACGATTTGGGGTGTCCATAATGCCACTATGGATGCCACTCGACAAGGTACCTACGATTTTCTCGATCAGTTCTTTGCGGAAATGACACAGATCTTTCGTGACCAGTATTTTCATATTGGCGGTGATGAATGTGCACCGCATGAATGGTTGGCATCGGATTCAATAAAAAAATTCATGCAAGATAACAAATTGTACAGTCATCAAAATTTACAAGGATACTTTACAAAACGTGTAGAAAAACTATTAGAAAAATATAACCGTGAGTAATACAAGAGTTTATCGACAAATTCCATTGAATATTTGACTTGCAGGTACCATGATGGGCTGGGATGAAATAAGCTCTGTAGATCTTTCTCGTCAATCCTTAATTCAATCGTGGCGTAGTCAAATGTCTCTTATTGATGCAGCTCATCGAGGTTATCATGCTATTCTTTCACATGGTTTCTATCTCGATCACATGTCGCCAGCTAGTTATCATTATAGTAATAATTTACACTTTGATACTATGCTCAATAAAAAGAATCAAGAGTATATTCTCGGCGGTGAAGCGTGCCTATGGACAGAATATATAAATGCAGATATGGCACATTCGCGTCTTTGGCCCCGAACAGCAGCGATCGCTGAACGCTTATGGTCAACGTCTTACGATCAAATTGACTGTATGTATGACAGACTTAACCAATTAGATACGAAGTTCTTTCATCCAAACGATCAACAGTATATTCAAAGTTTAGCAAAACTAGCATCAAATGTCACCGCTTTGAAATTACTCGCAGATCTGTGTGAACCATTGGGTTTACATGGACGTGATCAGAAGCGCAATTATACCAGTCGCACTAACTTGAATCGTTTCGTCGATCTTTTGAGACCTGAAAGTAAACGAACTCGACAATTGATAAAAGTCAACAAACCCTCGCTGTTGTATTCGACGTTTCTCTCATGGAAAATGAATAAAATCTATATTGATTCGAATGCAACAGAAATCCTGCAACTTTCGGAAAATTTACTACAGTTAGGTGAAATCGGTATTCGTCTTTTGAGACTTTTCAACGCAAATCAGCAGCGACCAGTCGTTTCATCACGATGGTATTCGTACCAGTTATATCTACTGAATGCGTTAGAATATCAAGTACCTGAAATACGTTTAGCCGGTGTACGTGTTGTCAAAGACCTACTTGAAGAAATTGACTACTGCGCATTTGATCTACTCAATCTTAGTCTGCTTCTGTTTTTTCCTCTAATCATTCTCATCGCACAACGAGTTAGTATAATCCGACGACGTCTTCTCATTCCATGTTTACTGTTTTGTTTTCACAAATGTGCTCGCTATTAAAGTCAGATAAAACATTTTCTCTTTCAAAAGATAGATAAAGACTTTTACAGAAAACATCACTTTATTCGTCGTCACAGGTATAAAGTCGAGCGCGAATTCGCTCGTGAACAAATTCATCTTTCAAATTCCAGCCCCATTCAGGTAAGACTTGTGGCCGTTTATGTGGTGTTAAAATAATTAGCTTCTTGGCAATAAAACGTAGCTGGATCATAACAAGTGGCAAATACGAAGGCGAAATTAGATGAGCAGCAAAACTGCAAACGATCAAATCGTAAACTTCACCTTCGCTTTCGAGACAACCATCAGCGATTTGTTCAAAGGTCCACTTCCCATGAATTAGAGTACCTACACGTTTTTCATACGCTTCACTCGTGTATGGATCGATTCCATTGATAGTTTGAAAACCTAATTGCCGAAGAATGAGTGTAATTTCACCACTACCACAAGCTAAATCAAGAACACGTTCGTTGGGTTTTATACTCCATCGTTCAACTAGTTGACGAACAACATCTACCAATCGATCTTCATGTGGATTTCGATAATCTGAACCATATTGACTGTAATATCCATTTACACCGAATTTTTCATAAGCGTGTCGTATAGCAAATTCTTCTTCATCGTTTTCCTCATCTTCATTGGACATGATTTTGATATTGGTATGCAACGCCAGACAAATAAGAACTATAGCAATGCATGAATCATAGACAGTGTTTTTCTCGAATATTTTACAATAGAGGACACTAGAGAACGAGAGATAATCAAGTCAACAGATGAATTTCATATACTTTATTTTAAATTATATGCAATAGTATACACTAAGAACATGTATATGTAAAATAAAATAAAAGACAAATTATAGTGGTTCAATAAGTTTCATACAGCATTTTTTGAAGCGCTTCGATATAATCAACTGCAGCCCGAAGTGTCTGAACTTTTGATATACGCGAGGCGTTTTTCATTGCTGTTGTATATTGTTCTTTTTGGTTATCAGATTGGACTGAGCTAGAATCGAGTGGTAAAAGTTGTTGAAGTGTATAGAAAGCTTGATTAACATCTTGTACACGCAATCTTTCCCGTTGATTGCGTCGTTCAACAACGTGTTGCGGACGGAGATGATGTGGAATATGTTTTGATCGACGTGTTGATTTCTTCTTTATATCAAACCCATTCGTCACTGAAATCAGATTTGCATCAGATGTTGGATACGCATCTTGCATATACATCGGTTGGTTTTCATAGTAATAGCAATTATAATATGGTTCGTAGGGAAAGTCCGGTATGTTGTTGGATATTGGTTGTAAAGGTATTCGTGAAGACATGTTCGTCAAGTGAAATATGTGCATGTGACTTATGGATAGAAGAGTTTAAATAGGTCTGGTTTATTTCGATTTTCCTCTCTCTCTCTCGTTCTCTATCTGTCTGTCTCCTCTCATTAATGAGCTAGAATTGATGAGATTTTAAATGTTCGTCTCTTTTTCCCGTGCGCATGTGTTGAGCAAAACAACAATTTCACACATACCCACATTTACGGGCCTTGTAATTATTTCGGTGACATCACTCTGATCAGCTATCTTGAGAATGTATACATTACGTTGCGATTATTGTTCATCATTAATGTGAAAGATGGAAAATCAAAAGAAAGAGAATGAATTTGATTTGCACATTCTTTGATCGTTATTCGATGATAGAATAGAAAACAATGTGTGATGTTTATCTGAATTGATTTAAGAACGAGACAGAGAGAGGGGGGGGGAAATCTAAGTAAGAATTTCAAATATTGTACCCAAGCAGGTGTACTGCATAGAATAATTCTTGATTAATATAAATAGAATGTCATTGAAACATCTATCAGCAATAATTTTGCATGTACTGTATACATAAATACTACCCGAATAGGCACACTGCTTTCGATCTAAATGAGCTTGTAATTATGCCGAGTACACCAAAGTCTATCTGCTCTGCTCAGTTCGATAAAACAGACACGCATATGTTCTTCATACATGAAGAACAGGCAGATTGTGCTTTCCTTTTTCTCATCTTCGTTCGTTCACAGCAGCGCATTCGTTAGAAACAAATTCTATTCAATTTATCACATATATTCTTTTTTTCGTCGTTAAGGTCAGATAAACGCTATCCTTGTTTCATTTATTGCTACTTGCATTTTCCAGACAACGTCTGTGACATCCATAAATCTTTATTCTCTAACTGATTTTGCTAATTAAAACAACTTCTATACTTCGTCTCGTCTTCGAAAAGTATGCTATTTCTATCGATAACCATGCCTGAGGAAATAGAAATAGTGATACTAAGAATCTTTATCGATTGATTTTCCTTCTGTTATTCACTCAACACAAGTAATATCTGGGATACTTCCGTTCCTTATCTTTGTATTAATAAGTAATCATAGCATTTGCGTATGTAATTAGTGATGTCCATATTAGAGAATGTTAGTGTTTCTCGATGGTATTCGGAAGAAGAGCAAAGCAATATTGAATTACTGTTTGTTTTCTTACATTAGGAAAGACAAAATGGTACAGACAACATCGTCACCGAAAGATGAAATTTATCCACAATGTGAGATTATGCTCACTCGTTCTTCTCTAATCAAAAATTCTCTTTTCAGCTCAAATGCATTCGACAACGGCTACAATGGATAGTCCACGTATGTTACAATGATTCGATCGAGATCTATACTAATCGTTTTTCTGCTTATCTATGTTTAGGAGCCAATGACAGCGTTGATATGTGCAGTTGGATCTTAATCGGCTTTTCGTATATTTTAATGCTTGTGACATTTCCGTTTTCATTATGTTTTTGTATTCGAGTTTGTTCTAGATTTGTAGAAATATCTGCATGTGATACTTTTTGCTTTTTCATCTAGGTTGTTCAAGAATACGAACGAGCTGTTATTCTTCGTCTCGGTCGGATTTTACCAGGCATGTAACTCAAAGACCGATTGAATGTTTGTCATTTCTTTGTTACCAGGTGGTGCTAAAGGGCCAGGTCTATTTTGTATGGTTCCTTGTGTTGATACAATTATTAAAATCGATTTGCGAACAGCAACATTCAATGTTCCACCTCAAGAAGTAGAATTAGTTTTCTCTCGTATATCGATTGCACCAAGGAAAAAACGCTTTTTCCTAGGTTTTAACACGAGACTCCGTGACGGTTTCTGTGGATGCAGTCGTCTATAGTCGAATCTTCAACCCGGTAAAGAGAAAAATAAATTCAATTGTGAACGTCCTGAAATATTTCACTATAGGTTATCAGTGTGATAAATGTAAAGAATACTCAATATTCGACACAATTACTGGCCCAAACAACCTTACGTAATATACTTGGAACTAAAACGCTTCAAGAAATCCTCAGTGATCGCGAAGCAATTGCACATAACATGCAGACTCATCTTGACCAAGGTACCGGTCCATGGGGTGTTAAAGTCGAACGTGTAGAAATGTAAGCTTTTCTTTTATTACGATTGAAACTCTTATGAGTGAGTAAACTTTTAGTACGGACGTTCGTTTACCACAATCGATGCAACGTTCGATGGCTGCTGAAGCCGAGGCAAGTCGTGAGGCACGGGCAAAAGTGATTGCCGCTGAAGGTGAGCAGAAGGCATCGCGACAACTGAAGGAGGCTGCCGATGTAATTGCAGCATCACCTATTGCTTTGCAATTACGATATTTACAAACATTGACACAGATTTCGGCCGAAAAGAATTCGACAATTATTTTTCCTGTACCTGGTTAGTTAGAAAAAAAACGCATAGATTTTATTTCTCATGTTATTGTTATATTTAGTTGAACTACTCAATTTAGTCAAACATCCAATGTAAAAATTGCTCTCATGAATTGACAAACATTTGTGTGCTACTCTAGTTGTTTGTTTATTGAATAAAGAAGAGTTCAATTTACTGCTTTAAAATAGAGAAACATTGCAAACGTTGTAGCAGTTACAGCACCATATTTTTAGGATATAAAAAGGAGAAATATGTCATGTTTTCTTCCATAATTATCACTTGATGCGGAATTTTTTTTTCTTTTTTGAACAACATACCTTCGGCATGGTGGAAAAGTGACTATGAAAAGAGACAAAATATGATTATGGCAGAAAATAGGAAAGAGAGAAAGGCAGGCGTCAGTTTATGTTTTATCGTTCAGCTTTCATAACGAAGTGTAACAGAACGATGGCAACAACCGTCAGTTTAAATGAAGAAAGTAAAGCGACTTTTTTTACTAGATAAAGAACTGTTTTGATCACATTCTTAGATCGTATTCATCCAATAAATACAGAAATTGCTTTTGGTCAAAACAAAGATCGACTGGGTAAATTTCAGGCAGCTTTATTGATGAGAATGCACAACTCGTTATAGGAGGAAACGAAGAAGAAACAAGAGAAACGACAAGCTTTGGTCTATGTGGCCAAATATTGATTTTTGTATCGTACATTTTGGTTGTACTGACCTGCCCTGTTGCAGTGTTCTATTGTACAAATGTGAGTTTTTGAATGAGATCAAACCGATGTTCGAGAATGAAATTTTGTTCGGTAGGTTGTTCAAGAATATCAACGAGCAGTTATTTTCCGACTTGGACGAATTTTGCCAGGTATATTGAGATTTCGAATGAAAATCTTCTTAGAAACATATTATTAGGTGGTGCAAAGGGACCTGGCCTATTTTTCATACTACCCTGTATTGACACTATTGTCAAAGTCGATTTACGCACGACGATATTCAATGTGCCACCTCACGAAGTCCGTAACAACGAGCCATTTGCTTAAGTTTATCTTTTGCTATGAATATGATAGATTTTAACGCGCGATTCAGTGACAGTCACTGTTGATGCTGTGGTTTACAGTCGTGTGATTGATCCGGTAACTGAGTTTAATAAATAATCCAAAATTTATATTTTTCTTCAGGTTGCTAGTGTAACCAAAATCAATAATATTCAGTCTGCCACACAGCTACTTGCACAAACCACCTTGCGAAATATACTTGGAACTAAAACACTTCATGATATTTTAACAGATCGGGAAGGGCTTGCAAATAGCATGGAAACACACCTTGACCAAGGTACCGGTCCATGGGGTGTTAAAGTCGAACGTGTAGAAATGTAATCCTGTTGACTATCATACAACAAAGAAGAGAGTTTGCCTTTGCCTTTAGTAAGGATGTTCGTTTACCACAATCGATGCAACGTTCGATGGCTGCTGAAGCCGAGGCAAGTCGTGAGGCACGGGCAAAAGTAATTGCTGCTGAAGGAGAACAAAAGGCATCGCGACAACTGAAGGAGGCTGCCGATGTAATTGCAACATCACCAACTGCATTACAATTACGATATCTACAAACGTTGACACAAATCTCCGCTGAAAAGAACTCCACGATTATTTTTCCAGTACCAAGTGCGCGTCTATTCTTTATTTCGAATTGATTTGAGTTTTTCCATACTTTTACTTTTAGTCGATTTACTTCAAACATTCAAACAAGGACATTAGTATATTGCTTTTCGCCTATAAAACAATTTTGAATAGGATAACAAGTACGTTGTAAATCACGGCTTGATTATCATTTATTCATATGCTCGAAGCATTTGTTATCGTTATTGTCGCGTCATACCTTCGAGAAAATGAAAGGCTATCAGATTTCTCTTCATTATTATTTCAGATTAAGAAACTTTTTCTTTACAAATAATCTGTGAAAATAAAAATCAGTCTCTAACGCAATTCCTTCATACATTCATCACCCACCACCGGTCACATTATTGTCTTATCATGAACTCATTTTGATTTCACCTCACTATTGGGAAGTACTGTAGTGGACAAAAGTAAATATTCGTTTGTTAATGTGCCACAGTTTGATGTATCTGTTGGTAAAACTTTTGGCGGTACATCTTGTGACACAGTGCTCACCAACGTTGGACATAAACTATCTGCACTTAAGGTGGAATGACATGTTCGAGAATTGATCTGCTTCGTTACTGGTATGGGCGATGAAATTGTTATCGAGGTAAGATTTTCACAAGACGCCGTTAAATTGCGTTTAATATACGCAGCCATGAATACACGCTGTTGCTCTTTAGTCAAGGATAAACATTTGAATGTCGCTCTACTAGACTAAAAATTTAACATCATCAGAATTTTAAGCCAAATCAAGTTAAATAAGACAAATTCTCTCACCTTATTGTGTACATGTCCTTTTGTCGGACAAATTTTTTCTAGGAAAAGTTCTTCGTATAAAAACGGTCCAAGAAATGTGTAAACAAAGAATAAATTTCCATACGCAAGTATCGAATTATTATTCATGTAAAATGTTAATAATGATCGTAAAGAACTAAATAGATATAAACATATCCATGTAATCGTTACACACAGAGCAAGAAGACTCGTTAGTAAATAGATAAGATCATTTCGGTAACTATATAAATGATACCGTATGCTTGATTGAAATGAAAAGAGAAATAATAAGAAGAAATTCAATGATAAAGAACAAAGATATAATGGTCGTGAACATTCATTCGAGCATTGATCAAATATGTCTTCGTAATTATGATAATTGTAGAACCAAATAATGAGAATGCCGGCTTGAATTAGGATGACAAGAAGAAATAAGAGAAGTGAACTTAACGATATTAAACAGGGTTTTTTTGTTGACGAATTTGCCATTTTGTAGAACCATTGATGTGAAAAATGAATATTAAAACCAAGTAAGAGAAAAAAAGGAAATATTTGCAATGAAAGTGATTGAATTGTACAGATCAAATTTCTTGATGCTGTAGGACGAAATAAAAATGTCATCGAAGACAATAAAACGAATAGAAGTGATAGTTGGGAGATATGAATATAAATCGTTGTTGACGAATGATGATGATAATTTCGTACATAGAATATGACATAGGCTAAATAAAGGAGCAAACCAATGACGAGTAAGCCAATTAAACCATACGATGGGAAATCAGTCATAAAGATAGATGAAAACGATATCGAATTATTGATACACATGGTTGAACGAGAAAAGAAATCTGGAAAAATGTGTTATTTCGAATCGATATGAAAGTAAATATGTACATACGATCGATAGAATAGTTCGATGTCGTGATGATGAGACTAACGTACTAATGACACTTGAAAATGGTTCAACTATCAATGTGCACACATATTTGTTCGGTTTTTTCTCTTGCGTTCGGTCGTTCGCTCGCTTTCGTACAACATTTTGTCTGCACACTCGTAAAGAATCTATCTTTTTCTCCTTCGTCTCTCTCCTTTTCTAATATTGCGCATAGTCGCCTCCTACTATCATTATCGACGTCGCCGTCTATTTCATTATCGCAAGTAGAAGACAATTGTAAAAAATCGTTCATATGTATACATATATGTAGTCGAGTTTCTCTTCCTCTCTCTCTCTCTCTCCCTTCGTTCACGTAATTTAATGCTTTGTTCTTTCTTTCCTTCTCTCTCTCTGTGCTCATTCGAAAAATTTTCGTTTGTTTTTTACTTAACAACATCGCAAATGAAGATAGTAAAGCTGCCTAGTATATGCTGAATTACAATGTTCGATATTCCTCCTCTTGTTGTCCCTATTACAAAAGGTTTCATCTAGAAGAAACCATCGTTGCATTGTTTGTACAACGCTAATCTCGATTGGTGTCTTTCTTACGTATGAAGACGTAGAATTGAAGAAAATATTCGATCGGCACTCGATCATGGCCTTGAGAAAATGTTAAATGGGCACAACGATCATTGGGCGTAGTGCGAGTTCCTTTTCACCTTGATTGCACATATATGTGTAAAGGAGAAGTTACAATAAAAGCGTGAAGAGTTGCTTTAAGGAAGAAAAGAGAAAATGTGTGAAGGTGATTTCTCTTCAGATATGAACGATAATTATAAATATTTATTATACATAGAAGTACCTATCGAAGAAAAGGAGAAGTGATCTTCAAATTAATTGTAAGAGTCAACAAAAGTAGTTCTTCCTCGTTCGTTTCTTCTTTTTTTTCTACATATAACTTCGCTTATGTAATCACAGAAGAATAAACCGGCTTACAATCAATTTCCACATTAAACAAATGAACCTACTTAGATCTTCTTAAAGGATTTAATCTTCTATAATCATTGCTATTCTATTGATAATGTTCAATTTATTGTGGAAGGCAAAGAATATAACATGCACAGCAAAAAAGAATAGATTTGGTAAAAATGTCAAACTTTATCTACTTTCACTACAACAACCTGGATTGAAATACAAATCCTAAAAACGAAAAGTGTTCTGTATGTGATTTTTAGAAAGTAATTCATTGCTTCTTACATGACGAAGATGGCACTCGAAGCAAGGTGTTTGAAATGGTGTCGATTCATGTGCTGCAAATTTTTCATCCATAGTTCGATTAACCTGGAAGAATATCTTGCTTAGCATCATCTATCGTCTGATCTACTTACACAAGTAACCATTCTTGATAAATCATAGTACCAAGCTGTTCGAGCAAAAACGGTAATCAAAGATTGAATAAATATGCTACCATCGTCTGGTGAACGCCATGAAACATAATCTAAACCGAAAAGAGCATTTCAGACGTATGCTATTGACATAGGATTAGAACTACCTTTGACAGTTGAATACCAGATTGCCATATCGCTTCGTATGGGTACCATGGTTGAGCGATGACTACCACTATCAACAATAGTTCGAGACGTTTCGTTCGAAATACTATCCGATGACCAGAAATTGCTACTATTAGATCCGCTTGGTACCGAACGATTATTACACTGTGCTGCAAAAGAATACTCGGAAAATACGCGAAAGCTTACACCAAAGAATAACTCTTACATCCTCGACAAGCTTGTATGATAAATAACTTTGGTTTTCCAATCAAATGATCATCGAATGCAGATATAATATGTTCATCAATCTCGAAAATAATACGCATTGTAAATCCTTCTTTCTCAAAGTTCTTTTTTATCCGCTCACATTCACTGCAAGTTCATCAACAGTATAAATAGTTCCATTTCCACCATGACTTAAAATAATCACAACTGAACAGTCACATGAATCTTTTTTCTCTTCAATTAACTTCGCAAAGTTCTCTATAACACTAATCATTTCCTAGAATTATCTCACAATTAGGAATAAATAGATGAAAAAGAAGTCATGTAACAAACTGTGTAAGTGAGATTTCGTCGAGGTAGTACAATAAAACCGAGTTGTTCAAATAAACTTTTTAATTTACTCGCATCAACATCAGATCCTTGACGAACTTCCATTGTTTTGAACGCATCGACGTTGTTGATCAACAAACAATAACCGCGGGGCTTACTTAACATTCGATAACACTGCAAAGTAAGATCTCATTTTCGAAGCTGGCATGAAGTTTGAAATATGATGAACCTTATCGGATCGTCTGGTTGGATCTAAATGCGGATATTGTTCGATGAGATCAGCTGTCAGCAATTGTGCTTCAAAGCCCATTGGCACTTCATCTTCGAATTTCGTTACTTCAATGTTATTTAAGTCATCCACTGAAATTTTATTATCAATTGATTCAATATTTGTGTCCATACGCCGTAGTTGTTCATCTTCGATACTGGTTGGTCCTGTAGGTTGTCCTCCAACAAGTGTTGGAAAATGATATTCAGCATCGAGCTGTTGACGGATATTACTTAGAAGAAACTTCTCATCCAATAATTGTACTAAATGTTGATTACCTAATTAAAATATAAACATATACTTAATCTGTGTGCCGTCGATGTACTTACCGGCCAAATACAAGGCCTCTACCAAAGGTTTGAATGCATGTTTACCTCGAGTTAATAAGAAATTAATTAGTTCACGTTTACGATCTTCGGGAACCGGATATTGCTAAAAAAAATGAACTGAAGTTTGAGATCGACTAATAATATAACCAAAAGATGAGCCTACATGGAGAATTCGAGAACAAACCGAACGTGGTATCACACCTGCTGATTCCAAATAGTCCATAACTTTCGTAGCTTGGCACATTGAATAAATCAATTTGTAACGATTCTTAGTAAGTATTCTTGTGCACTCAACATCGTCAGCATCATCATCCTAGTAACTTTCATCATTTGATCCATTAACAGAGGCGCAAGTAAGTAACTTACTTCATTCTTCGTTTCGTCTATCGACGCACTCATTAAAGAGTTCTTTTTTACAAGCTCAACTAAAGTCAAAATCATTTTTTCTTGCTCCGACATTCTCAGGATTGAATGCGTTTTCAAAATGTACGAAGTAAAACTGTAATTTTAATCTCGTTCCAGACGCTCTACGCAAGCCTTCTAAAAGAAACCATCAAAAGATAACAATTCGCTGTGCATTCTAAGCACTTAACTCGCATTAATAGAAGAAAAACGTTTGTTTACTAACTTTTTCTTTCTTTTCATCGATGCCAATGGGATCAGTTACATCTGATAGATAGATGAAACCATTCATGGATAACAAACAGATGTCGCTGTGCTGAGCATTCACCCTCAGTCAAAAGCATGCGGGGATGACAGTAGTTCATGCTATAAACAACTGCCCCTACTCAATTGTATCACAACCATCTCTGGGGAAGCCTTGGATTTTCTATACTTCATCAATAGACTTAATCAATCATAGAAACGTCATTTCTTCATCGTGCACATCGAAGATCTATTCCATGTGTGACATGTTTTCTTTTTCAGCCATTTGAAGACGCTTGGCCTTTTCTCACTCTCGAGATCATATTATCTAGCGGTGCATTTCAATTCAAGATCTACTTTGTTTTCGACTTCTACATTGCAAATCGATCCAAACAAATATTCATCATGCACGTGTGTCTTTTGATTGTATTCAAGTTTTCTAGGTCGGATCGAAGAAGAAATAAAATCTTGAACGTTTATTCGTTTAGATTGCTATCGTTTATACCACACATGTATGTTCATCGTTGTTTTGTATTTTCACGTGTTTCACAGATCATCTGGGCATCGTTGCCATTTTGCTTGATGTTCATTCATATGTACACGTAGCTAACAAAATTGATTTCTTTTCAGATGTGCAATATTTGTGTCGATTTAAATGAAGAAGGAGGCTTTGTCATACTCATTCATGTACACGCTATTTCGCTGCTCACATGAGAGCAAGTTTCGTTGGAAAAGAAGAGACAGATTTTGGTACATGAGACAATATTTTTAACGGCAAAATCGATCTTGACAATGTCGAAATTGTATAGGATGACGATGGGAAGTTTCATTCTTCGTGCCGAACCATCGAATTATTGTCGAATGAAGTACCAATTGATGTACACAAGATCGAATGAAAATGACGTTGAAACATGATAGTTCAGTTGAAAATCAAACGTATATGATTATTAGTTTGCTGCTTCATATTCTATCAATATCGGTTGATTGAATCGAAAGTGCCAGGTTAACAAACACATACATACGTATATGAATGTAGAGAATGAGAATTTGTAACTAGTTTACCATTGACTTGCTTTTCTCACCGCCACCACCGTCACCATCATCATTATCATCATCGTTGTTGTTGTTGTCGTCGTCGTCGTCGTCGTCACAAGCAGCATAACGAGATCGAATTGAAAATGGAGAAAATGCATTTGAATACTTCAAAACAAGCTATTCCGTCTATACGTGTGAGAATGCATGTGTTTAATCCAGTTGAAAATTTCATTCGATTCTATTTTTCATCTAGATTTCACGATTGATCTAATGCTGGCAACGGGGGAATGCATTTGAATCGAATCGAATCAAAATCAACAAGCAAGTGAAGATTTCTAGTCAAGTCAATGAGGAGCGACTATCTTCGTTGATTTATTTTATTATTTGCATAACATATGCTTGTGTTAGTTTTTCAAATGCATAGAATGCATCTATAGATGTTGTTTGTATAGTTGCCGTCGTGTACAGTGAAATAGTTGTTACTGCGGCATTGTAAGACGTATTAAAATAAAAACGCCAAGGAGTTTATGTTTATGTCAAGTTCAATGAAGATGTGTGACATTGGAATGGAGTATTCTTGATACGTGTATTTCAGTTGCGAAGCAAAGAGAAAGACTGACGTTAACGTCATACTACTGCTTAGCTTATGTTGTGTCGTTGTCCATTGAACTGCATGTGATCAATATATGCAAATCGAAGATGAAATAATTTCGAAGAAAACGATTCGCTTCTTCTGCTACATGAATATGACATGTTGTTGATATTCGGTAGCGAGATGAGCAACGATTTCGGTTGCGTTCGTGCTACTATGTTTGATTTCTATATGACATGTCAGTGATGAATTTGTGAAATTTCGAATGCAAATGTCGTCTATAGAACTGAAGTCTACCGAATCAGCATTATGGTTGTTTCGTTGTGATATTGATAGTGATGAAATTCAAAGAAAATCGACAGCTATTCATATAGATATGTGCATGGATCATCATAGAAGTGGTAAACGAATATATTTCGATATGATGTTATGTATATGTGTGCACATGCAACTTGTAGGGATGATAATTCCATAGAAGAAAATACTCTGATATATGATGTCGACATTCGAGAAATGGAAAACAACAACGACAAGACGTAGGATGTGATATCAAACGATAGTTAGATCTGTGGTTGTTTGTTGCAAGTACATTAACATCGAAGATGTATGCATGTGTCTATGTATGTACGCCAGCGAAAAGAAGTGATGATAAAATGAAACTTGGTGATTTTTTTCTCGAAGAAAAATCGCTAAGTCGTAGAAAACGAATAAGATGAATAGGAGTATGAGAGCAAAGAGCTGGATGATAAAATGCAAATGTCGTATAGGACTGAAGCCTATCGAATCAGCATAACATCGAGCAGAAACTCAGCGGATCGCAATGTGGCGGTTGCTCTCACGTGTACGTTACTCTGTTACTGAAGAAAGT